TACAACTGACAGTAATATTTCGTTCAAGGATTCCAGATATGTGACCACGCGGTCACGGTGGAAATGAAAGGGTTAATTAAGGCTCGATCCCGTATATTTCTACGCGGTACTATTACTAACGAATGCTGTATTTGTAAACATTGACAACGTCATGATCTGTATTACCTATCGTTCCTGTTGTCCTACTTACAATCGATTCGAGGTACAGTAATCGTGAATACACGGATACGTTCCTTGCGTTGGATGTATGCGCTGGTAACGCATCTGGTACGACTCGTTTGTACAGCAAACGCTATAGACACGTAATTCAAAGAGTAGGATGAACCTCTCGTTGAATATGGCTCTTTCCAACCATCACAAAACCCGAGAATTACGTCATAGACAAACAATTTCTGAAAACGCACAAGCGACGTCTCCGACAAAACGCAGTTGAATAATTCTCGTATCGACGGGAGTAAAATTTATTTTTAGCGTCCCGTCAATAAACCAACAATTCTTCGAACACCATGCGTTAAACATAATACAACCTCATCCGCGAATGACTTTCCGTCATTTCCCGCAACATTTTCCGATGATCTAACTCTCTCGATGCATAACGTAATTATAATACTGCAATATAACGAATCGACGTGGAACGATTTACACGTGTTGGAATTTTCAACGGACGTATAACCAAGCGTTAGTGGAATTCCAGAAATGACTGTGTTGCTCTAGAAACTCGGTTACAACACGTCAGTGTGAACGTTTGGGCTTGGATAATCGAAAATGAAATAACAGAAACTCATTTTCGTTTGAATATTACCAGGAATATTTAACTTTTTTCCAGACAATAAATTGAGCGTGTTGTTCGAAAGTACATCTTCAATTACAACTAGAAGTATGATATATTTCTTTCAAGAATTGCTACGTTGAATTGGACGTAGCAGAATAGATGGACTTAAAACGTTTATTTATAAGGTTCAAATGATTAAAGCGAAGATCGGTTCAGCTTTTAAAAAATTAAAGACCTGAAATACGGAGGGTGCACGATAATTTAATTTTCAGATCAGAGCTCCAAACTCATCGGCAGGAAAGCATTCCCCAACAACTTCTGCATAAATGAATCAAAAAGTAAATATTTTAGCTTTATACGGGAGCCTGTGCTAAACAACTTCCTTGTACTCTAATATTTATGATATTTGCACACGTAAACAAGAGAGATACCTTCTGAAGTTCTGGTCAAGTCACCTGTTTGTTATTTGGACGAACTTTCGTTTTGTCCACGATAAATTATTCAATTTAGTATCTAAGAATTTGTTATTTATTTAAAAATCTACTCGAATAGAGAATAAAACAGAAAACTATTTCACTTGAGTCAAATAATAGAATATAGAGAAAAATCATTTGAATGTTAAGATAAATACACGCGAAAGGTAATATGTTCTTTTAAGGATCATTCTTCAAATGATCCTTTGTTTCAATAATGCTCGAACGTGGTGGAATCCCATCATAAAGTGTTTAGAAACACGACTAGATTAAGTCTCAAAGTTATGGCTACGTAAACTGAAATCCGTAGAACGAACCGTGTCAAGCAACCGTAACGACGAAGTTTAGTAATAGCGAAAAGCGTGATACGATTCTCGGTTTATGGTGCATGCGAGGAAATTTCTGCGAGATCGAAATATTTGTACGCGGAAAAATATCATGACGGAAATCAACCATCGCGTCGTATGTTTCTAAAAGTTTGGTAAAACGCTTGAAGAAACTGTCAAGCTTCAACGCAGAACGCAAACGACAAAAACTCGTAAGAAATGTGAAAAATTCTACTGCCGTTCTTCCTGCTGTTAATCGCGATACGCATTTATTTATTTTTTTGTATTCGTTGTCTTTGTTGCACTTGATAGCAAATAATACGGAAAAGAATGAAAACGTGTAACACGTGTAAAGAAATAACGAAATAAAAGACAAGGTGTTGGAAACTGTTACAGAAATCTCTGAGGACCACTTAAAAGTAGACAAACAGTAAATAATAGGAGAAATAATTAGGTATTTATATTGGACGATATAGTGTTAAAACAATAGAAAGTAGAACAAAATTTCATTAGAAAAAATTAAATTTGTTATTTTAAAATCTATAATAATATTTCCTAATGCAATTTTTTTGTATCGGCTGAATTTCCTTGTAAATTATTGGTTGTATGAAAAACTGTTTAAAATTTCGAAAACATTAACACATATATTAAATGAATAATAAAAGACATTATTTAGTTAAAAAACACAAGATGATCTTCATATCTTAATGGAATAGTAAACAAATAAAAAAATAATTACTGCACTGACAAATATAAATTTTAATTTCTCGAAATTTGTTTATATTAAGAATAAAAATTCGAAACTTTTAATATTTTCTCCTAACATATAACATTTTCGATCATCAGTACGCCCACATTATATAAATATTCGAGCGGAACAAGCAAAATCAATTCTTTGCAACAAATAATTCAGAATAGATAAATTTTGATACCAAATAGCGCACGTGAATGTTTATAAACCGATAATAATTTAGAACAACAATCGTTTTATGGGAGAATTAATAATATTACGCGCTTTTGAATCAGTAAACAATGAAAATTAAATGCACCATAGACACATTCATCGTATATAATATTCTGTCAATAAACAGTTACGCAATTTGTGTGTACAATACTTCTAATAGCTATAATGTATTTACAATAATGATATCTATCAAAATGAAAGCTTCTAAAAAAATATAACAAAGTATTATTATTTTATTGTAAATATTGACTTGATTTCTTGCTCTATATTTAATTTTTGTTAACGAACGGGGAATAACGAATGAAATAAATGAAAATTGTCTGGAGAACTTCGTTGCTACTCTGTTAATGGGTCATTCGATCTAAGTGTTACGGCAAAAACGTATTTTCGAACTGACTGACTGTTACGGTTCATATTGTCAAGTACAGAATTGGACAATAGTAGAATGGACTCAAAGTTGGATAAAGAGATAGCTCATGCACAATGGCATCACAATAACGCGGAAATCGAATTTCTCCTCCGTAGGCTTATACCACATTTGCAACGCCGCAAACTTATCTTTATCAGCTTATTTCTAAACAATTTTACACAGAAGATATAACCTCCATTTTCTTTTCTTTTGTTTTTCCCCAAAGCGTACAATACAGTCCTCACATAATCATTTTAAACTAGTTTTCAAGGATAATACCCTCTATTTACGATTTTCTAGGAAAAAAAGAGTTTTCAACGCGACGTTAAAAATAATTATTTGTTACGTAACGATTATAACTTTACTGATAAATTAGTATAGCCAATATTATATGTAATTCTAAACTGAGCTACTGATATTAAACTTTTGAATATGTATGACTTCGCTCGAGGTTACAAACAAAATTAAAACATAAACATACTATTAATAAACTGCAATAACTCGTTCTTTCATTCTTTATAGTTGTTATGTGCTTTTGTCTAATTATACAGCCATATTTAATCAACTGTAACTCCCCAAAAATGCACGTGATCATTAAATGATCTTATATTTCTTACTCTTATGTATTTGACAGATGGATGGGAATAATATAAACACGAATACTTTGTACGTGGTTATAAAAAGAAAAAAATGTTTCCATTATAAAAAATAATCAGTCGTTTGTAAAGGTGCTGTGAAACGATAAAAAATCTTAATTGCTCTTTAAATGAAACTCTGTTCTGTCAATTTTAATCACGATATGAGAAAAGCAATACAACTACGATACAGTTGAACAGAATAATGAGTACATATCGATGTTATTAACGAAACGAAAACAAATATTCTATTTTATAAAGTTTATTTACACATAAAATTGGAAACAAAATCTTCGCGAAAATTCGAATTAAATTTGTTTGGCTGTAATTGATTGGAGATCTTTTCTCATTAGCAATTTTTTTTAGACATTACGTCAAATGAAATAAATCCTTTTCTTCAATCGTAAATTTTCTTTTACCGAAACAAATGCTTTTCTGTGGCTGTCATAACTATGGAGTATAGAAACACAACGCTCTGAAAATTACACAGTAGGATTCTGAAATTTATTCGACGATCGTCGATTTCCCTCAAAGCTATGGAATTAGATAGCTGCGAATATTCTATTCTAGATTGCAATCTTACGTAAAAAAAAAAACAGACTCATTGGCAACACGAAACTCTAAATATTACAGAGAGAAATTTTCCTGGAATTCCTCCAAAGTGAAGAAAAAAGAATGTTTCGTAAACATTCTGTAAACGCGTAAAGAAAAATAAATACATCCAAAACACGAAAGTCGACTAATTCGGGAGAATTCTGTAATGTATTTCTGGAAAGAAAAAGGACTGAAGATATTCCATTCGGGAATTGCGACGTTACCAAGGAAAGAAATTCGCTGGATGCACAGAATTCTGGATATTGGAGGGTGCAATTTATGGAACTTGTTCGACGATGTTCGATCTCGCGCACAAAAGAACGATGGATTCGTAATGTTACCTACCTGATTTCGGAACACGGAGACGATGATGGGACGAAATCAGTTCGGTTTCTATTTTCGGTGACTTTTCACGCAACGCGGGAATGTCAACTAATATTGCGCAATCGGTAAAGGTCCTAGTATTTGCTCGGACGGTGATTCACCCTCTATTATCACAGCGTCGACGGCGAAACGAGTGCATTCAGTCCACCGATCTTGTTACTCCGTCCGAATCGCTCGAAATGGTATCCCACCGAAAACCTGACAATCCCGCGGCAATTACCGGCAATTATTCAAGCGCCAGGCATCCAGCCGCGGCGTTATCCCCATCCAGAGAGTGCAAAAGATCGCAACGCGTTGCGTGAAAATTGAAAGTCAGTCGATTTGTGGGGTGGCCATGCAGTGGGGTAAAAAATTTAAAGGGCAGAGAGATCCTTAGCGCAGGCAGTGCAAACAGGAAACGAACACACCAACGGTCACGCAAACAACACTTTTTTTCTACTCACTCTTCGTAGACCAGAACACTTCGCGACTCCTGCTCCGAGGACTCTCGCTCGACTCGCGGATGCGTGTTGTTTTTATTTTTCGTGTAACGCGCGAACAACGGGCAGAGAAATCGGAGGGATGCGGATACGCGTGGAACCGGAGTCGTGAAAAGAAAACGCTGAAGACAGCGGGGGGAAGGAGAAAAAAAAGTAGATAGTTTGGTAAGCAGAGATAGAGAGAGAGAGAGAGAGAGAGAGAGAGAGAGAGAGAGAGAGAGAGAGAGAGAGAGAGAGAAAGAGAGAGAAAGGGCGGAACGGGAGAAGAACAAGAGACAAAGTGGTGTTAAGCTGGCCGGTTAGAAAGCACGACCAACGAGAAGTGAAAGCGACGTTCTCGGTGCAGACGCACTCGCGGGTCTAACACGTAAACGCACGAAAAATCGACGTGCACGCGACGGCGGTCGCGACGATACTGCGCCCTATCGGACAGCCCTGCGCAAATATAATGTCACCCCTCTCCTGCGACCACACTATTCTCCTCTCCGCCGCTGCCACCAGCGAATCGAACCCACCCCCTGTTAGAACGACCGGTTTCTCTTCCTACCCTTTTATCTGCCGTCCTTTTCCATCCCTTCGCGCTCCACCGGTCTCACCAACACTGCTCTGTCCCATTTCTTTTTTTTCTTTTTCTTTCTTTTTCCTTTTTTTTTCTCTCTTTCCGCGGTGTTGGCGACTCTTGTCACGCTACCACAGAGCCCGCTACAAGGATCCCTTTTCTAAAATGGAGGGGGACCGAAGGCTTTGCCGCGAGCTTCCGGTACACACCGATGGGTATTTCCGTTCACGCTCGAAGGACCCAAGACGACGCAGAGAGAGAGCCAACGTCGAACCCCCGCGAGGTAATCGTACGTGCCGCCCCCGATCGCGCTTCGCGTGTACCGATTATATCCAACGACCGGCAAGATTTCTTCTCCTGGACGCGCGCTATTTCCAGCCCCTTTGAGCCTCCCGATCCTCTGAACCGCGGCTGTTCATCCTGATTTATTCGATATCCCGGCGATACGCGTCTGAAAGTTTCCTCGCGCTCTCTCGTCGCGGAACAACGCCGCCGCGCGAGAACAGATGCGCAGGCATTTCTTGCGATCGCGCCACCATCGAGCAGCTGAGATTTCCCGAATTTACTTACGCCGATGGAACGTTCTCGTTATAAATATTTCCTCGCGCGGCCTCCGGGTTTCCGGTCTTTATTTATTCCCGTTTAGCAGCGACGGAGCCGAAACGAACTTCGTGTCGTCGATTTATTTGCGCTCGAAATTGATGCGTTTGTACGGCACCGTTTGAGGGTGTCTTCGAACGATGTTAGAGTTATTGGGACGCGCCAGCAACGTTAATTACATTCTGGAGTACGGACATTAGGGAAACGCAGAGGGATAACGTGGTTCTGAAAATTACTTTATTGAATATGTAAATTTAAATTTCATTTAACCGAACACCAGGGTTAGGGGAATCCTTTTCCATTATTCTTTGATCAATTCTACACCGATCTGTGGAGACACTACTGAATACAGGGACTTCAAAATGTAAGTTTTAGTTGTCAATGTATCAGCATTGTACCATTTTGATGCCATTATTATTTACATATTAAAATTTTGTAACAATTTGTTTATTAAGGTCCCGAAATGTGGTGAACAACTTTCCAAGGAAAAGCATTGAGAATTATGGCCGGAACAAACAATCCGTCGGATCATCGAAGTTTTCTTCATTGTTTAACGAGCAGTGCTAAGAAAAGTTGTGCAAACAGAGGCTCCATTGTTCCAAATTGTCCAAAGATTTCAATTGGGGTGTGATTTCAGCCTCCTACGAAAATGGGTCAATAAGGAAAAGAGACAGATGCAGGGTACCTAACACTGATTGTATTTTACTAAACAATTTGTCTTTAAATCAGAAACGTGTATTTAATGATAAGGAGTTTAATTATTATTATTATTTAATTATTACTGACGCGACATGCGGAGCAAAAGAAAAGCCCTAAGATTGACAATGTAATTGACAATTTAAAAGAATGAAAAATTAAGAATTTATATTTTTATATTGCAAAATAAATGAAAAAAAGATATACTCCCGTCATGAGAAGAAAGTGGAGACAATTTTTACCAAATACTGTATTTCATTTTTCTCATTAGGTACTCTTATATAAAACATTGATAAATAATGGCTTAAGCATAGGCAAACGACCTGATTGATCGACATTGTGTCTAGAAATAAATTGAAACGAAAAATCTTTTACTTTTGCGTGATAACTGTGCCAACAATGCTTATTAAAAATCATATCGTTGTTAATAATTACAAACTGGTTACTGCGAATCAGCCAGTCCTTTGATAGACCTACATCGAAACCCGTTCTTTGGCTATGTAAATACTGTTCAAACGATTCTGTTTATATTATCACAGATACACAGCACACGTATGTAGTAGTATAGGCAAAATCGTTTGAACCGAATGTACCCAACCGTTAACAAGTTTAAATATTCTGTTATACAGGGTGAACCATCTGAATCGACTCCTTCAATAATATTTTCGAAACTATGGTCCTAGAAAATGTTTCGAGTCAAAGTTAATTTTTTTGTAAGTAGTTTCTTCGTTAGTAGATACGTAGAAAAATTGTATAGGTCAACTTTATTGTTTTAAGCAAAATTATATACTTTTGAATGCATTAATTCAATAAATCATTATATTTAGACATATCTTACTATCTGTTTCTTTTATAATTTTAATGTTAGTTTTATTTCTTTTGTTATTTTTTTGCACCACCTTATTTTATGGGAAAGATTTGAATACTAATGACAACGTGTAGGACTAGAATAGCTCGATTGAACTATCTCTGTAAATTTAATAAATACGAAATTTGATTTCTTCAAGTATTGTGTAATACCCAAAAATAAATTTTTGTATTCTGAGAAATACTAGAACTTGATAATCCCTCCTTTTCCCGCTAAATTTTTAAACGTTAAACGAATTTTGATTCTTTGATTACGATCTACACGAAACTACAATGAAGACGATTGCAGTCAGTATGCAAAACGAGATAGTTTCTATTTCATGCTGGATTACGTAACGTTCTACCTCCAGCGATGCGAGAAGCATTTTCATCTGTTGATACAACTAATTGAAATAATAGAACAGTGTGTAAATACAATCTTATAATAATGAACATAACACTGCAAGTCTAACTACTCTTATACTTCCGTGTAGTTGAATCACGTATAAGGTTGAAGATTTTCTTTATATAAGCATAGTTAACGTATACTTAAGGCAACTCAAACCAATGACGATATTACGAGAATCATAGAAGACCGAGAAACTCCATGCAACTCAATCACCTTCAGAATGACCAAACTTGCAGCTATTCCAACTGTTTCAAACTAATACTAAAATTAGATATAATGATGCTAATATTGAAAGCTGAGAAATGTTCGATGCTATAGAAAATTAATATTCTTTGTTTTGCCCTATTCTTTTATTTAAGTATAGCGACAATACTTTACGCAGTGCTACATCTAGGCTAGCTTTCCTGAAAGAACTGGTGCAATGAGATGCATCGATACTTTGATACGTAAAATAGAAAAGTGTGTTCTGCGAGGAAACGAAAAGTGCATCTTATTTTCGTTGAAATACAAATTTTACACTCATAGTAATATATCTCTTATGTAATCTTTTGTCTGTTATAGTTTAAAAGCTATTCTTATAATATTTATTTGAATGTCAAACCACATAAACAATTTTGAAATTCTTACATCACATGTATACTAACTAATGATAAAAATGTTTACAAAAGAATTAAATTCTCACATATAAGTAATACTTCTAAATCAAATTTAATTCATCCGTTGATATTAAAATATCAATGTTTGACTCTATCGAGTTATTTGTTGTTATTTAATTATTTATCGTTAAACAGCTAACAGAATTTATATTTTTCTTTTTCGGTATGACATTCTACTAACATTACTAAATACAGTATGTCTAATCAACACCTTTAATATATTACGATTGCATTGATACATATGAGACGTTGCTTTTCTGAAACGCGGAATACGTGACAGCTATATAAATAAAACTCGTTTACGTCTGCTATTTGTTACCCTGTCAAGGAAAAATGACTGGAGGGATCGAGATGATATATGAAGCGTATCTATAAAATAGTATAACTTAAAATATAAGCCATATAATATTGAGAGAGAGGGGAATCCAATGCTTTCGAAAAACGCGTTATTATACAACAATGTACACGAGAAATAATTAAATAAAATTTACAAATTCTTAAATCAACGAAAAGCAAATACCACCGTCAATATTTATAAAATCTAATAGTTCGTCTTTTCCTAAACGTTTTGCGTTGTTTGTGCATGAAAATGAAGGTAATCTTTATTATTTTTAGAATTTGTGCTCCTTCGAAAACGTTTATTGGAGTGTTTTACAGCGGTAGGCCGGGAGTCTGACGCGTCGAATGTCGTTAGAAAATTTATGTTTATGTAGTGTGGGTGTTACTCTTTTGAAGGAGAGTTGGTTTACGAGAGAAAAAGTTGCTGTTGACTCTTCGTACGTTGTACCTCCTGAGATACCAGAATCAGTTTACGAAGGTTAACAGTAAGAATGAGCCTCGCTAATCGGGTCAGGCACATCTGGCGTGGTTGTACAAAATCCCAGTTACGACTTGAAGGCAATAAAGAAAGCCATTTCCTGGCTACGGAACTTCTTGCAGCCCTAAGTGCTTAATTTGTGACGCAATAAATTCCAACCTGCCATTCTTCCGATTCGTCACTTAATAAAACTTCTTCCAAAGTTTTCATTTCCACCATTAGCTCCACGAATTAATTTTCAGCCCCAGCGTTAAATCATCTATAGCACATATTAAAATTAAACTTTCTTTCCGTCGTGTTGGGGTCGTAAACTAACCAAAGAAGACCAACTTTAAAACCATGATGCTCGATCCTGCAAACGTCATAGTCTCAAAAAACAGTAGTCAAACTAAAAATTGGATTTAATTGATTCGGTACATTTTAAGTCATTTATATTCATATATTTTAGTTTAGGTTTTAGTTTATGTTAAACAATCATCAAAACTTTAATATTTCTATTTATAATTTCACCAATCCCTTTCAAGCTCTTCTAAATCCGAAATAATTATTTCAATGAAAATTCCAAAAATGTTTATTAATTTTTTTATTCGACAAAAGGATTTTGAGCATCAATGTATTAATTTATTCTATCGTCTCGAAGGTTTCTCTAGTAATTTATTAGCAGACATCTGTGATCTGAGTGTTCGAAGAAAAAGGGGGAATCTTCTTATTGTTTACAAAGTCTCCAAAGAAAAACATCTAAACACTGAATAACATGTTTTTTGGTTGTTAGATAGGAAGAGGAAGTAAGTGAGATACCCTTCCCACCAAGATCCCCA